CTAGTGGCTCCTTTGGTGGCTTTGATGGGCGATGCCTACCCCAGACTCAGGGAGCAGCAAGCGCAAGTGACCAGTGCGCTTAAATCAGAAGAAGCGCGTTTTTTTGAGACCTTGGAAAAGGGTATGGAGATTTTGGATCAGGCCTTACTGGCCGATCCTAAAAATCTACCTGGTAACGTGGCTTTTAAATTGCACGACACCTACGGCTTTCCTTTGGATCTAACGCAAGACGTGTGCCGTGAACGTGGTGTTGCAGTTGATGTGGCCGGTTTTGACGCAGCCATGCGACAACAAAAAAACACGGCCCGTGCAGCCGGTAAATTCAAAATGGATAAGCTGCTGCCATACGAGGGGCCGACTAGTACCTTTACAGGTTACGAGCAGCTGCAAGGGCAGGCCAGCGTTTTGGCCCTCTACTACGAAGGCGAAGCCGTTACTGTCCTCACCCAAGGACAGGTGGGGGTCGTGGTGTTAGATAAAACCCCTTTTTATGCCGAAAGTGGCGGTCAAGTGGGCGATCAAGGCACTATCAGCCATGCAGACACGGATTTTTCCGTCAGCGACACGCAAAAAATCAAAGCCGATGTATATGGCCATCATGGCCAAGTCAATCACGGACATTTGCGAGTTGGTGAAAAAGTGCATGCACAAGTGGATGTACAAGTGCGGCAAGCGACCATGCGCAATCATTCCGTTACGCATATCATGCACAAGGCTCTGCGTGAAGTGCTGGGCACGCATGTGCAGCAAAAAGGTTCACTTGTCACCCCTGAGCGTACGCGGTTTGACTTTACCCATAACGCACCTATAAGCACCGAGCAGATTCGGCAAATTGAACGTACAGTCAACGCTGAAGTTCTGAACAACAGCGCCACACAAGCACAGGTCATGACGCTAGAAGCCGCCCAGGCCACAGGCGCAGTCATGCTATTTGGTGAGAGATATGGCGAAGTAGTGCGCGTACTGCAAATCGGCAGCTCAGCCGAGCTGTGTGGCGGCACCCATGTCGCTCGCACAGGCGACATTGGCCTATTCAAAATCGTGGCAGAAAGTGGTGTTGCTTCAGGCGTGCGGCGCATAGAAGCACTGACCGGCGCGCCCGCGCTGGCATATGTGCAGCAACTTGAAGGCACCGTGCAAGCAGCTGCACAAACACTAAAAGCACCAGAGACTGAAGTGCTGACCCGCATCGCACAGATGCAAACACAAAGCAAAGAGCTGGAAAAAGAAATAGCCACGCTCAAAGGCCAATTGGCCTCCAGCCAAGGCGATGAGTTGTTGACGCAGGTTCAGGATATTCAAGGTATCAAAGTCTTGGCAGCCGAACTGGCTGGCGCAGATGCCTCGCGTTTGCGAGAAACCATGGACAAGCTCAAAGACAAACTCAAAACCGCGGCCATTGTGCTGGCTGCTGTTGATGGCGATAAGGTGCAGTTGGCAGCAGGGGTCAGCAAAGACTGCATGGGCCGCATAAAAGCGGGAGACTTAGTCAATCATGTGGCATCGCAAATAGGCGGTAAAGGCGGTGGCAAGCCTGATATGGCAATGGCTGGCGGTACCAATCCAGCTGGCTTATCTGCAGCTTTGGCCAGTGTCGCAGACTGGGTAAAACAGCGAATTTAAGCGCTAGATATGGCATTAACGCTCAGCCACCGCCAGTGTGACATGCTGGAAGCGATGGGCATACATTTGCCGATGCGCCTCATACCGCGTGTCACGCCTCGCGAGCAGATGGAGCCAGCCCTTACACAGCAAAGTACTACTACGCAACGCAAAGCCCCGGACGCAGCACCTGGCGCAGCAACCCTAGCGTTCGCCCCCAAGGCCATCGACACTGCTGCCTTGGCTCATGCTCAATGGAATCAGGCCCAAGAGCTGCTTAGCCACTGCCATGGGTGCAGCTTGCGTGCGCAGTGTGCGCAGCCCATGTGGGGTACCGATGCGTTGGGACAAACTCTTGTGCAAGCGCCCGCGCAAGAGTATTTAATTTTGCTAGACCAGGCGGGCCCATCTACAGACGAATTGCTTTCTCCCCAGGCCTATACCTTGCTGCGCAATATACTGAAAGCAGCACGCATAGAACCAGAATCGGTATTTATCACCCCAGTCGTGAAATGTCATAATACGCACGCCTCAGCAGCTGATGCGCTGCCCATATGCGCAGTGTATTGGCAAAGACAAAGGCAATTGCTCAGCCCAAAAATGACTCTATTGATGGGCCGTCTGAGCATACGCGCAGCACTGAACACACAAGCACCTTTGGGGCAATTGCGTGAACGCATCCATCTGCTGGGTGGTAGGCCGGCCATTGCCACTTATCATCCAGAATTTCTGTTGCGCAACCCGTTAGAAAAAACCAAAGCGTGGTTAGACTGGTGCCTCGCACTTGAAAAAAGCACGGGCGTATAAAGCAACACCCTCCTGCAACAGCCAGACCGTATCAGCCAAGCGTTGTAGGAAGGTGAACCACCAGCCGGCTTAAGAGCCAGACTGTAAGGTTTGCTTTTCTTAGGGCCGTGAGCCTGAAGAAGGGAAAGGCCAAGCCGCCTGTGTGCTCAAAGTAGTTTGAGCAGGTGGGCTAACTGATGCAGCTTTTTTCTTGGCTGCCGGCTTTTTGCTGGAGGCCGCCTTTTTGGCAGGCGC